GATAGGGACCAGTGGAGGGCTCTTGTGAACACGGTGATGAACCTTCGGGTTCCATAAAATGCTGGGAAATTCTTGAGTAGCTGCAGAATTGGCGGCTCCTCAAGAAGGGCTCAGCTCCATGAGTAAGTAAGTAAGTGCCGAATAAATAGATACAAGGTCAGTTACAGTTAGAGTACAGAGTAAATATTAGTAATTGAATTAAGATAACTACATATGTGCCAACCAGTAAGGTAAAAGTAAAGCTATCCCTGCAACAGACCGTGGAGGCCCATAGGGTTGTGAGACGTGGAGGATCCCACATTTTCTATACAATGGAATCACAGATGACAGTGAGGTTGCCAGCCTTACGCGCCGGGCGCCCTTTACCCCTAGGAAGATTCCTGATACTCATTGCTGTTAGAGGCTGAGTCGACCTCAGGGCCATATTGCGGCTGGAAGGATTAGGTCAATCGAAAAATCTAATGACTTCATCGGAAATCGATACCGCGACCTTCCAGCCTGTAACATAGTGCCTCAACCAACTACGCTACCGCGAGCCCCCCCCCATGCCAAACAGTAGGACAAATAAATATATACATATAGTATATATTAATTTGCTACAATTTCTAACTTGCCTTAGGAAGCATAAAGACGCCATTAATAGGATGGTAGGAATACAATAAACAATAAGGTGGTTTGAGATACCCCAATAAAAGTGGCTGCAGTACATGTTTGAGAGAAAATTTGTTGATTTGAAATATATCGATCTGTTTGCCCATAACGTTGGCAGTATAAAAGCACAGAGCAAAGGAAAAATCTGTAATTGAGGCACTAACAATAAACATGGAAATTTCTTTCATTTCACATTCTCTCACTCTGTTATTGGAGTTCTTATATTTGATAATAATTTGTTAGAAGTAAGTTGACTTACTCACTTCTAAGGCCGCCCCATAGCTCAAGCGGTTAGTCGCTGGCTTCCCAGCGTGGCGGCCCGGTTTCGATCCCGGGTTTAGTCAAGTGGGATTTGTTGTGGACCAAGTGGCTCTGGGGCAGGTTTTCTCCGAGTACTTCGGTTTCCCTTGCCAGTCTTCATTCCACCAACTGCTCCACAATCACCCTCACCTATCATCTGGGGCTGCTACAATAGGCCAGAAGTTGCCGCAGTGCAAGGGACTTAGTCCCACCCCACTAGCAATGAAAAAAATACTCACTTCTACCGAAATTATTCAGACGATCAGAGATGTTCCGATATTCACTACAGTCAAAGAAGATGACGTCACAACCAGTGCATTAAAAGACCCGAGTGGCAGAAACTCTTATCAAGAGGAAGATTGGCAAGGATAAGGGACAAAACGAAAGCACCTTTGGTTCCTTATAAGATATTGCAAGCAGTACAGAAGCTTTTGATATTGTGACGTTACTTGTCGCGTGATATTTACCCAACACGTTACAGTATATTAAAGAAACTCAAGTGTTTTGCCAGGAAAGAAACAATACTCAGATGTTAAACTATATCAGTGGTGTAGGAAAGCGTTCGAACTAACACATAGATTACAAAGAGAAAAGAAAACTGCCCAACATATTACATTCTTTTGTGGAAAACAAAGAAATCTTATGTGACATAAAGACGTTAAAGAAACGTAAAGTAGATAATTGCAGCACTTTTGCGAACACCGTACTCTCCTTTAATCATAAACAAGTTAATTTATAATTATAAAAATTCTATGCATATTTCTACCTTCATAATTCACTTGTTGAGCATCTAAAATTATATAAAACTTGTTTTTACATTAATTATTGAAAACATATAGGCGTTAGATGGCATGTAGCAACCTTTAGTCTACAGTGACCACTATTTCCAGTCCAAAGAATATTTTATAGAGCAGTTTGATTGGATTTTGAAGTTCTAAAATGTGACACGTGACTGTGTGAGTGCTTGCGTAAACCAATGAAGAGCAACGTGCAAAAATAACGTCACTAAATTTTATTAGAACGGTAATGCATGACCTTCACAGGAAGCCTTACAGTCGTGAACAGATAAAGAGTAAATGAGATTGACTTAAAGAGTTCTGGAACGTCTGACACTACACCAAACTCCGTGTTGTTAAAAATTGAACATTTCCGCACATGAGATATTTAGATTCATGAAACTGGGTGTCTAAACTGCATAAAATCTGCCGTGACAGATCATTTGAATAAAAAGCATTTCTTTATCCAGTAAATTCAGCACAGCTGGAAATTCTGCATTCTTCTTTTTGTCTTTCCGGAGGCCGTTTCTTCTATCCGAAAAATGAGGACACGACTTGCTGTACTGACAATGGACCCATGCAAGATGAACTGCTAAACATGGACACAAAAGTTTCGGAAGTCACAGGGTACTCGAAAGTTTCTAGAACAATACTCGTGAGTGGGAAATTTTAGCTATAGCACGGCTATACCCGAAGTAAAACGTAGGTCCCGGAAGATTGAATATAGTATGCTGTAGAATACAATACAGTAGCAATAATAATAATAATAATAATAATAATACATGCAACAGAATAATACTTGAGCTCCTAGTAGCTCATCAGAAGAACCCGCTACTGATCTCTATCCTGCCTGAGCCAGCTGAATCCATCCTAAATAAGTACAGGTATAATTGTTCCCGTTTATGTGTCTAACCTCCATTTAACACCTATGATCAAACCGATCTTCATATTGTGACCACTTATGTTTGTGGCTAAATTCGAAATTTATTTAGTAACTCTATTTAACTTTCTACCTGAGCCCCACTATCACAAAATTCATTCAAACTTAATTAAAGCGAGTGATTACAAGATTGTAGAGATTCATTCATTCATTCATCAGTAATCTGTCAGATGACAGGTCCACAGCCTCTTCCAAAACAGTTTCTCCACTTAATGCGATCTTCTGTTTTTGGAAAGAGACTATCCAGGAAAAGTGATAATGTGGTAGTTTTTCCATTTGCTTTCCACATCGCAGTACAACAGCCGTTCAAACCACTCTGGTCACGCCTGTTGCTATACGAACTTGAACCATCTCGAGCATCATTTTCTCTGTGCTTCAAGTCGCCGCTGATGACGCTGCTTCCGGCATCAGTTTTCGGTGTCTCTCTTCGTCTGATGCCTACCCTTTGACCTGTCCAGCAAGGGAGGCCCTGCCAGTAGCTACGCTACCGCTGGTATAGCTCTCAGGGTCCTTGGCATGATTGTAGAGATATGCAATTAGAAGTTATACATATCACATAATCAAAACCAGCACATGGTAAACAGCACTTACACCCATCATCTCACGCATAACCAGACTGACTCTTCAGATCACAAGATAACAGCTACTAATATATTAATAATAAATAAATACATACATGTTAACATACAAATTATACTTTGATATAAAAGCAGATCATTTATGAGTGACCAAATAACCAACAATATTTAGAAATAGAACAAAAGAAACCTTAATTATTAATAATAATAAATCTTAACTTTTGTTTTAACTTAATTTAAAACTAAAATTAATTTTAACCAAATATATTTTAATTTTTGCATATTAAATATAACTGGCACTAATACCGTAAATAACGTATATGACCTTATCCCTAAAATGTAAACATTGGCCAATGTAGTGAAAAAAATAGCAGAAAAAGTAGAGTGTGAATGTAAAATGCTTTACTGATGAAGGCCGTAAAATGGCCGAAATATATTTTAAAGTTAAAACAGTATAAATTTATTTTATTCATACAGAGATTGTGTTGACGAATCCCATAATAAATACTCGTACCCGTTGCTAGGCAACGACCGGGAGACAAAAAACGACAACTGTCATTGCTAAGTAACGGCTCCGCAGATGTTATAAGCAGGACCAGTTTCACTCGGACCGGAGAATGATTGCATTGGCGAGGACAAGTAGCAATTGTAAATGATAGACACGTCCTCTCGTCAGCGAGGGCGCCCAACATCAGAAAAACCCGCAACTGTCTCACAGTAATAGAAATCTGGTCTTGGGTACCAGATGGGTGCTTGACACCAAGACAAACTGGCCGACTGACAGGAGATCGTAACGTAATGACTCTGACTTTAACTTCAGTTGTTGTGAAAGAACTGCTGGGGTTCAGTCGTTGTGAGCGGTTGCTATTAGAAGCTGGTAACCGAGGCTGAGGGCAGTTCGGAAACCCAGAGGAAGGGGAATGTCCGCCGTTGAAAACCGCTACCAAGCAACGGCAGCAGGAAGACGTGACTGTGGACACAGTGTGTGTGTAACAGTGAATTGTCAAGTGTAGTCATGCACTGTATGGACGTGTGCAATAAATTCTGTCATCAATCCAATAACCCGGTTATAGTCACACTCTATCACGTGACAATATATTTTATCTATCTTACAAGTGTAAATTGTGAACAAAATTACGAGGTTGAATATAAATATGTCTAATGGAAACAGACTTTTCATGCAAGTTTACCCAACTTCAGCCATCATAAACCCTTATGAATATGTTCTTCTATGTATATTATAGGCCACAATGTCCAGTGCATTTTAGAAAGGGTATACTGGATTGATGTAAATGAAATGCTTATTTCTGAGAAATTTTCTTCTGATACATGAGTAAAGTTAGATGCATTTCTAAAAATGTACTAAGAACAGCTACAGTACAAGAGATTAAATATTCTATTCAGGGTCGAATGTGACAATAGTGTTTCCACAACTTATGTATATTGTCTTGACAACTTGTGCTGTCTGCATGAGGCCTGATTTATATGTACCCTATTGGACCTAAGATGTATGATGAATTTGTAATATGTGACATTTTTATATTCAGCCATGCTGGGAAAGGATTGGATCGATGAAATGAAAATAAACGTAAATGTAAATCAGGGTGGCAGAATTATTCATTGCTGTTCTGTGAACTCAGCATTCGGGAGGCCTAGCGCGCATAGGCCTGTCAGTGGATAGTAGCTAACCCTTTTACTGACTGAGCAGCAATAGCTTGAGCACTACAATAGATGGCAGCATAATGCATTCGTGACGTTACGGTAGCCTCATAGTCAGACAATTACATCGAATTACACAGAGTTGCCCGGGGCTCTTAGTGATATTAGTGAAAGTGTTCTGTGGCTGTAATGTAAGCCGAAGACAGAGTTTCAGGACGTGTGAGAGAGCTTTAGAAGTTACACTTGTAAGGACACCGTATACAAAGTACCTGTGGAGAATGGCATCATCGGAAACAGCTCAAGTCAGCTCATTACCTCTGCCTCCCGTACAATATATTAATCATTATACAGATGAGAATATTAGGAGGGGTAGGGCACCAAGACCCCCACCAGTAATTCATGATACATATTCAATGTTCGGAAATACGTTTAATGCTGATGACACAATAATAAGGCCACTTGAAAGCCAGGTATGATAACCATACTGAATTAAACTGCCAAATCTTTGTTACTACGGGGCATGTTCATTGTGAGGTTAAACATTATCAAGCACAAGAGAAGAATTCTTGGGAATTTTCATATTATAAAACCTAATTATTTTCAAGGTGTATTTAGAGAGGCGGAAGACAATTCTTCAGTGCAACTTTCAAACCTTTAACAGTATTTTAGAAATGTATAAATTCTGACAATGGGAATATCAGATCCTGTAATTATGCATTTGATTTCAGGGCATCAAACGATTGTATCCCCAGCATTTTGATCGTCGACGTGAGCTCCGAAAGTTGAATCATTCCTTGCTTGTCAATTTTCTTGATTTGCTGGACTTACTTGTTCAGTGTCCAGACTCTCCTCGTCGAGCTGAGAAAGTCGAGGACCTTAGTCTTTTGTTCATTCATATCCATCACCTACTCAATGAATTTCGTCCACATCAAGCCAGAGAAACTCTGAGAGTAATGATGGAACTTCAGCGTAGACAAAGGATAGAGACAGCTCAACGTTTCCAAAAACATTTAGACAAGGTAAGCATAATGTTTACACTGTAAATGTTCATCATAGAACATTAAAAACTTGCCAATGAATAAAAATGGGTGTCTTGATAATATGGACCCAGATTCATAATTACAACTAATCAGCATAATGGCATTAGTACAAAAAGTTTCAACTTAAAAAAATTAAAAGAATTAGGCATTAAAACCTTGTATTAATTAAATGAAGGTACCTACACAAACCATACAAGGAGGAAACCATTTTGTAGAATAAAAACTGTGATTCTAAAGTTTGCAATACTGATAGCTAATCAAAAAACATCTTTTCATTATAGTGACAGTCTGTACTAGAATGTAAGGTTTATTTTAAGATACTAGACCTTATATGATCATTCTAAGCTCACATTTTTCTATCATTGAATCTGATTCTATTAAGGTCAGAAGATTTGATTTGGTTGTTGCTTTTTGGTTATCATAGGAACACAGCTTGATAGTATTCTTTACAATTCATGTTACATATGTGAGAAGGCAAAAAGATTTTAAGGTAATAATTCTCCGTTGGAAAATATTTTCCTTCAATTTCAGTGAATAAATTTCTTTTTCAGGTAATGGAAATCTTACAGCAAGCTTTGCAAATGTTGCCAGATCCTTCTGAAACTGATTCTAAACTCCTAATTCCAACAGAGTTATTTGACTGCATGGACACTGCTAATCAGGATGAATCGGCTAGTGAATCCTGTAATGCTCTGGATCGGCTAATGTGTGAAATTGTAGATGCATTGTAATATCATCTTATAAATAAAATGTAATAAAATACTGTTTGCATTTGGCAGCATGATTATTTCTTAATGATCCCAACATAAAACTATTTAATACATCTGCTGACATTGCAGTCTCCGTCTGCCGCAGACCTTTTACCTATGCCAGTGCCATAAAGTATGTAAAATTATTCACTGAAAGCAGTATACTTACTTACTTACTCATGGAGCTGAGCCCTTCTGGAGAAACCACGAATTCTGCAGCTACTCAAGAATTTCCCAGCATTTTATTGAACCCGAAGGTTCATTACCATGTTCACAAGAGCCCTCCACTGGTCCCTATCCTGAGCCAGATCAATCCATACCATCCCATCTGATATCTCTAAGATCCATTCTAATATTGTCTACCCACCTACACCTTGGTTCTTTCCTTCTGGCTCTCCCACCAATATCCTATACACATTCCTCCTCTCCCCCATTCGTGCTATATGACCTGCCCACCTCATCCTCCTTGACTTGGATCATTGTAATTATACTTTGAGAAGAGTAAAAGTTATGAAGCTCCTCATTATGCAGTTTTCTCCAACCTCCTGTCACTTCATCCCTCTTCGGTCCAAATATTCTCCTCAAACACCCTCAGTCTATGTTCCTCCTTTAATGTCAGAGACCAAGTTTCACACCCATACAGAACCACAGGCAAAATTATAGTTCTGTATATTCTAATTTTTGTTTTTGGACAGCAGATGAGAGGGCAAAAGGTTCTGGACTGAACAGCAGCAAGCATTACCAGAGTTCAATCTCCTCTCAAGTTCCTCCTGAATCAGGTTTTGATCTGTTATCGTTGTTCCCAAATATCTGAACTGTGCCAAATTTTCAAAGCAGCAGTATGCACTATGTCTAAACATCTTTGGGGGTACATCATACCTCAAGCAACTTAAAAGGAAGTCCTGTGTGTTCAAGATCTCTTTACAGCGGTGACTGCCATTCCCATTGCAAGTTGAAAATAAGATTCTTAAACTCCTAAACGCTTAAGGATGTAATGATCTAGTGACAATCTGATGACACAACCTCAAGGGCATTTCAGACACTGAAAGATAGCCACTTCTTGACCATTTTTTAAACACGATCTCACAAGAAACCAACCATACACAATCACTTCTTTAAAAGGTACAGAATAAAAATGCAGGTTTCTGGTGCTACGCATGACACACAACACAGTAACTAAATATCAGTACACCTCTATAGTGAATATTTTTATTTACTACTCTGATACACAAATGTCACAATGTTTAATATATATCAACTTCCATAATACAAATATGTTGTTTCCTAGGCAATGAAAGTTGCAGGAGAGGACAGGAAAAGGGAATCACCTTCATTAACTTCATTAACTCACCTTACAAATAAACAGTTCAGCTGCAAATGATCCAACTGTAAGAGCAATCTAGAAATTCAAACTGAATTTGCATATAAAGAATAATTATTGCAGCTGCCACTTCTGTTGACATGGTATTACAATCTGAAACAGAACATGCATTAAGTACTGCAAAGCATTTAACACAAATTCACCACCTGGACACTTGAGCACCTGAAATTAAAAATGAAATCATGACAAAGACAAGGAGTCAACTGAAAATCACTAGTGATAGAACCACAACTCCAACCATCCATAGAATTCTGTAACAAAAGAAATTTCAGGTAACATTCATTCAGCAGTTTATATGATCATCCTAGAAATATACATAAAATGTTGAACATTCATGACGAAGAAATGAAAGAATCTTCTCACCCTTCATGCAGAGACACTACAGAAATAAAACATCCACAATAAATTTTCAAATAGCCTCAAATGAGCTGCAAGAGTAAGTGAAAATCACCTTGAGAAAGTTGTCATGAATCATTTCAATCACAAACACAAATATTCAATAAAACATCAATTATCAGCATTCAGCATATGTGATCTTATACAAATCAACATGTTTTTCCCTATAATAATGATTCTGAAGGGGACTATTTGATACTATCAGGCAGTGGAAGACAAAAAAAAAGCAAAAAGCTTGCAAGAAACTGAAAATGAAGGATTGTGGGAAGAAAGGAAATGGAGAGTTTGCAACAAGAGACCCATATAAAATGGAAATGATGCCATTATAAGGCAGTAACTTATAAATGTGCACAAAGTGTTTTCAATGTTACCACCTATAATAATTTGAGGGCATATAATAAGAACACCTAACATACCAAATATAAACTGCAAACCTGATATATAAATTATATATGTGTGTGTGTTTTCGTTTTTCCTGTCAAACACAACAAAAACGAACAAAATAACTCAACACTCCACTGTGCATATCTGAGTATATGCATCCCTAAAAGACTGGCATATAAAATTCATCTGTCATGTGTTCAGTCTCATAATTTGGCTTCTACATAATCAGAACTAGTTTTAATAGTAGAAAGCAGTCTACATTTCTGCTTCATTCATGGGCAACATTTTTAATTTATGAAGGGATCATTATGCATAATAATAATATAGCTGGCCAACAGGTGTAAGAATGTCACAATATATAACAATTTCAGTAACTATTTAAAAAATCTAGACAAAGAATGGTTGCCCTTGCTGGTATTACATACATGAAAAATCATTAATGAGTATGGATTAATATCAAAACAATGTATATCTGTGTTGTACAAGATCACACATATACTGAACACCCACTCAAATGACCACCTGCAAATGTCAAAATTCTATCAACATGGAACTCAATCTTCCAACTATACACATTTTATATTGCTGAGATTTGTCTGAAACTACCACATCAGACTTTTTTAACCCCCACAAAAATTTCTGTGATCTTTCCTGATTTCTCTAAATGCACCTCATATAATACCAGCCTTCTTCTATTTTATAATTTAAAAATTCACTCACATTACAAAAAAATGTTAATATTTTGAGATATCCGAACATTGAAAAAAATTATTTTCAATAACTTTTGATATCATAGAATTACAACCATTTTCTAATGACTTGTTCTTGATCTGTAATAGAAGAAAAACATTTATCAGAAATTCAAAGCTGTCCAAATGACAAGAATATGAACATTACACACCCTTCTACAATGAGAACCAAAATCCTCATGTCTTTAACACGTAGGGTGGCCATTGTGCAGATGTGAAAACAGAACACTATAAAAGAATGCCATGCGTAAGTCTTACACAAGTAAATATGAGTACTTGAGGTAAGTAATGTACAAACGAAAATGCACGAGTTATAAAAGTAGTAACTGAAGTCATGGATATTCTGCCTCATTCAAATTTACTTAAGGGAAATTATATGATTTTAGATAAAGCCATTACCACAGTTTTAAAAGGTCACATATCCCATCCCAACACCTAACTCTAATTAATTATTAAGAGAACAAAAACAAAAACAGTACTGCAGTCAGTAAGTTACCAGTCACAAGAGTTCTTCATGCAAGATTTTCATTCAGAGCAGTTAACGAAAGTGTTGGATTTGAAGTTCTCACGACAGTGTCTGTGAAGAGTAATCTTCTGGGTTGTAACACCAAGCAGTTCAGAGATAGGCTGATGTTTCAGAGGAACATATTGCCTTCATCTTCAGGGTTACGATTAGTGCGAAACCAACAAAACCAGGCAGCAAACTAAGTTCTTCTGAAATGTCGGGCTCTCTCTGAACAACATGCTGTTAAACCCAGAAGACTGTACTCTTAACAAATATTTGATCTCAAAATGTAAGGCCAAATCAGCATTCATCTAAGTTAAGTCCTATAAAAACCTGATATTTGGGATCCAAAACAAGCAGCCACCCTAGATCCACTGTCTGATTAAAATATATTATAATATAAATTGATGAATAATACCCTGCTGTATAACTGCAGAATGTAGACTTTTATACTATCCTATTCTTCATCATTTTTAATGTGAAGTTTAAAACTGTACTCAGTGCCGAATATGAAAAAACACTGAACATTTTCCTGAAAAGAAGATACATTTACTTAAGACTGATATTATTATAACAGGGAATTCATGTAAGGAAAGAAATAAGTGAAGAAAGGAATGTGGGATCAGGTCTGACTGTGCACACACACAAACACACACTCAAATTACATGGTACTTAGTCCAATAAAGAAAGTTTCAGGAGTCACATCAGATGCAATACGCTTGTACATTTCACTTGGCAGGAAACACAAACCATCTTTTCTATGTGTCATTTTCTTCATAGTACATCAGATGACACTTCTTGTACCGTGTTTTATAGGTGAAGAATTTTTCACTTTCTCAGAAAACTCATTTGATACAGTGTCACTTCCATCAATCAGACCATATTACAGACAACTTTCAGCTTGCTGTGGACTTTGGTATAATACCAGGCATATCACTGACATATAAGTGTCCACTGATGAGTAATTACATTTGTTCATTTGTCAGTGGAATCAGTATTTCATCTATGAGTTTGATTTTAGTTCAGCATTGTAACATTTCATACTGTTCAGTGAAATGAAAGCATATATCAAGCTGTTTCTACTTCCAGGAAATGCAGGGCAGTTAATAATTCTAAATAAACGCCATTATGGTAATGATGCAATTAAATAAAACAAGTAATACTCTTGAGGATGTTATATGTAAGATGGGCATATTCAGTAACTACGTCTCCAACCTCTTCCACCTCGAAAACTTCTTCCTCTTCCTCGACCTCTTCCACGCTGCTGTGATGGAACTGTTAAAGGAGAAAATTATTAATTATTAATTACTCTTTCATTACATCTCTTTCTTTAGTTAAACATCCCCTTTTCTCAGTGAGACTAGTAAATGGCAGGCATAATTGTACACATATTTTGCACATGTTGATTCAATAACAGTCAAGAATAACGCTACTTTCAACCGTACAAACTCTCTACAGGCAGAATTCTCATAGAAACAGTGCTCATATGATAAGTTTAATCACATGCAGAAAGCTCTTACCATAACTAGACACTTTGTTGCTGTATTTTCCACTAGGAGGTTGATAGATCTCCCTTTGTGATTTATCAGTTTTAGGATGTTTGTTACCAGATGAATCCGAGCTGAAAGTGATGGGAGTGTGCCGTTTCTGACCAGTAGATGGGCCATCCTTCTAAAAATGAAAATTGAAGGAAATGAAACACAGATCAAAATGTTTATGAAACGAAAGTCTTTTTTTTTTCCTCCTGTGCTGCACTTTTATATATTTAGCGGTTAATTCAGTCACTTCTCAATGACAGTATAAACTCAGCACTCTTTTCCAGGACATTTTATGCCTCATTTGCTGCAAGTTGTGGCGTCAAATGAGATTGGAAGACAGATAAGTGGGAGATTTGGAAGGAGATGGTTTTATTGTATCCGAGGGCACCATCGCAGCATTCACCTGGAAAAGCTGAGGAAAATTACAAAAACCTTAAGACAGGATAGCTAGTCCCTGGGACAGGACATACTGCACACAAAGCAGTGTGTTACAAATCTGATCACAGCATTCAGCTACATACATACATATTGTGACCTGTTGCGCTACGGTAATAGGCAGGTCATCATCCCCCCCCACCCGCCAGTGGTGATATGCCGAGCGGAGCCGAAGTGAGCCAAGTCCAAGCACGCTGGTCACTATGCAAAGTGAGTAAACAGCGGTTGCTAGGCAAAGCGAGTAAACAGCGGTACCCATTATGTAACACGGGACGCCGCAGTTGCTACGTAGCCGTAAACAACTCCCAACAGCGTTGCTAGGCTATCGGCAAACACGGCAACTAGCCAACTAGGAAGCGAGGCGTTTCCCGTTGTCCGGCTGATGGTTTATAAGGGAACTACACAGCCGCCGAAGACAGTTCTCAAGGCAGCAGCCTACGAAGCGAGTTAATGTGTAGAGGCCGCCGAAGACAGTTAAAAGTGTAGCAGCCTACGAAGCAGTTGGAGTATAGCAGCAGTCGCGGAAAGAAGAAATGGACATGCGTGTAATCATGTAATTGGGAGTGTGTAATACAGTGACACTTATACAGCTCCCGTACTGTGAATACGTGTAGATTACTGAGGACAGAGTGAAGAGATTTGAGTGTAGGGTTTGTAAAGTGTGGAAACCCATAATATTGTTGTAATTAATTGTAGCTGAGACTTGTAGGTCGTTAAATAAACCAGTTAACAATCTGAACGGCATCTCAAGTAACAAAACACGTTACAATATACATTTGCGATTCAAAATATTCATAAATGTGCCACCAGCACCGAATATAAAACATGTCAACAAGCAAACAAAACATTAGACACTTACGAAGGGGGACCCAAAAATAACCGGAACCGGCCTGTTGCCCGCGCATGCTTCGTAGTTACGAGTTGTGCTGCTAGGTGGTGTTAGCTGGGGGTCTCCCGCGACTGTTAGTGAGCTGGCGTCAGTCTGAGTTAAGTGGTTTGTCTGTGGTGTTCTGTTGTGTGCGTTCCTGTTTCAACCCTTTGGCGATTAGTGAGATGGCCGACCAGAAGGAACAAAGAGTGTGCGTGAAATTTTGCTTTCTGTTAGGGAAAACTGCAGCCGAGACTGTTGGGATGCTTCGGCAAGCCTTTAATGATGATGCTTTGGGGAAATCACAGGTCTACGAGTGGTTTTCCCGTTTCAAATCTGGCAACATGTCAACAGAAGACATGCCACGCCCCGGGCGTCCTTCGACAGGAAGAAATGATGAAAACATTGCCAAAATCAAACATGCAATTGATGAAGATCGTCGAAAGACCATTGACCAACTTTCTGAGGAAACGAACATCTCATGGAGCA